ATCCTGTATTGGCCACTGTCACCTTCTCCTCCACACTGTAAACTATGTCCAAACAACACTAACCCAATCTCCTTCCATGACAAGGTGACCCACTTAGTGGATGAGGGAAAGGCTGTGGATATTGTCTACCTAGACTTTAGTAAAGACTATGACACCGTTTCCCACACCATTCTCCTGGAGAAACTGGTGGCTTGTGGCTTGGACAGGCATACTCTTCGCTGCATGAAAAACTGGCTGGCTGGCCGGGCCCAAAGAGCTGTGGCAAACAGAGTTAAACCCAGTAGGAGGCCAGTCACAAGTGGTGCTCCTCAGGGCTCAGTACTGGGGCCAGTTCTGTTCAGTATGTTTATCAATGATCTGGATGAGGGCATCGAGTGCACCCTCAGTAAGTCTGCAGATGACATCAAGTCGGGCAGGAGAGGGAAGGCAGGCTCTAGAGAGGGATCTGAACAGGCTGGATTGATGGACTTAGGCCAACTATATGAAGTTCAACAAAGCTAAGTGCCTGGTCCTGCACTTGGGTCACAAGAACCTCAAGCAGCGCTAGAGGCTTGGGGAAGTGTGGCTGGAAAGCAGCCCAGTGGAAGAGGACCCAGGGGTACTGGTTGACAGCCAGCTGAGTAAGAGCCAGCAGTGTGCCCAGGTGGCCAAGAAGGTCAATAGCATCCTGGCATACATCAGAAATAGTGTGGTCAGCAAGGCTAGAGAAGTGATTTTCTCCTTGTATTTGGCACTTGTGAGGCCCCACTTCACATACTGTGTTCGGTTTTAGGCCCCTCACCACAAAAAAGACATTGAGGTGCTGGAGCGTGTCCAGAGAAGGGCAATGAAGCTCGTGAAGGGTTTAGAGCACAAGTCTTACAAAGAGCAGCTGGGGGAGCCGGGGATGTTCAGCCTGGAGAAAATGAGGCTTGGGGGAGACCTTATTGCTGTCTCAAACTACCTGAAAGGAGGTTGTAGCAAGGTGGGGGTTGGTAACAAATAATAGAACAAGAGAAAACAGCCTCAAGTAGCATCAGGGGAGGCTCAGGATGGATATCAGGAAAAAATTCTTCACTGAAAGGGTTATCAAGGATTGGAACAGGCCACCCAGGGGTTGAGTCCCCAACCCTGGAGGTATTTAAAAGGTATGTAGATGTGGTGCACAGGGACATGGCTTAGTGGTGGACTTGACAGTGCTAGCTTAATGGTTGGATTTGATGATCTTAAAGGTCTTTTCCAACCTAATTGATTCTGTGATACTAAAAAAACAAACAAACAAAAAAACCAAAACCAAACCCAAAACAATGAAACAAATAGGCAAACAAAAAATCAATTTTTCTTTAGTCTGCCCATTCTTTCTTCCCCATATTAGGTGGGGAAAAAAAGGCCCATTCTCTAGACTGTTCATTTATGCTTGTCTGCTAGAGAAGAGACATCAGTATGTGAACAAGAAGTTACCTTCACCTTGGCTTTGTCTTTTCTGCCTTAAAGGCAAATGAAGCCTTGGGACATAAGAATTTAGAAACTTACATGTCATGTGTCCTACATTCCCTAAAAAAAACTGTAGGATAAGCACATTTAGTGGGACAAGAGAGTAAGTTTTGAGTGTAATTAAGCTGTAAAACCTAGGGAGGTTAATTAAGTAATGAAATCCAGGGAGTAGTAGATTTTCTACCATTTACAGTTCAAAACAAACTGCCTCTTCTGAGGAAGACGTGCTATACATCAAACAAGTTTATACATGCAATATGGTAATCCTAGGTAGTTTTATGGGTAACACACACTCGATTGTAGTGTGGTGTTACATATTGAATCATAATGGCCTTAGAAAAATGATGAATACATTGTTACCTAAAAATTTTGCAGTTTTCCCAAAGAAAACTCAGGCTGAGAATGCCTCCCACCATGAAAACAAAACTGGAGGGAGTTTCAAAACAAACCGCTCTCCTGCTGTGTTTAACAAATGGTTTGGCCATCCTGCCAAGATTAAAACACACAAAAGTAACAGTTCTCTATTACCACAGCAAATTTCCATAGAGCATTGCATACCATTAGCGGCATGAACTACACCTTTCTCTAGTATCCTCCACAAAGCTGACTGTAGAAAGGAGTTCCCAATAAACTCACCCAGAACTAGTCTCACACCAGTGAGACAAGTTCGTTTATTTTAAGCTCCTAAATTTTTTATCTCCTGGTTTGGACAATTTGCTCTGGGCTCTGAAAGCATCATGTCAGAGTTTTGTGTTGATGATTCAATTATTCTATAACTTGAGGATGGTCAGACTTTCCCATTACAGAAAAACACAACAGTCAATTGCTGCCAAAAGGGAAAAATCCTTTCTTTCTTCTCTCCTCCCCTGCTTCTCCGCTTCATATAGGGGAATCACACCAACCTCATAATAAACCAGTTCAAGGAGCAAACAGAGCCTTCCCCTCATTTTTCATCAACTAGAAGCGATCAGTTACCTGCTGGCTCATTTTTTTGAGCAAGCTTCATAGAGAATCAGATAAGAACTGGTGCAACAAAAAGAGCAGAAACATGCAGCTAAAATAACAAACCCCCCCATACTTTTCAGCAGATACCATTAGATTTCTTAGTTGCACCACTAAATTATATTTTTAGAATTACATAGCTTCATCTTCCTATTAAATAGCAAAACAAAATAATCATCCTTATTTTAGGACTATTAATGCACAATATAGTAGCACAGTAGGCTTAAATGAAAATTTAGGGATTTGCTTTCTCTACCAGACTTTTCAAAAGTGAATACCACTACTCTTGTGCAAATACATATGCTCACTATAATTGCTTCTGACCAGAAAATTACATTTAGTTTTAAATATGAATTCACTTATATTTATATTAAATTACTACAGCAACAGTTCTGCTTTTTTTTTTTTTTGTATAGAACTGATAAGAAATAAGAAATAGAAACAACAAAGCCAAGAAAAAACACCAGCCAAAAAGACAGGGGGAAATAAAGAACAAATAATGAGCAAGCAAAAGCCAAAAATTAGGATTCTACATTTTAGGCAGAGTATGCATCTGAAAAGACTGGAGAAGACGTAAAGTGGGTGAATTGATGGGAGACAGTAGCTGTGTTCTCAACTTCATGTAGAAAATAGAGATTTAAAAAAAAAAAAGAGAGAGAGGGGAAGTAAAAAAAAATGGCTTAAGATGGTAAATATTATTAGTCATAATCAAACCAGTACTTGCACTTCAAAGAAACCATCTGTGGTTTCTGTCCGCCTCTAGAGTCACCTACTAAACAACAAAAACCACTAGTATTTTTTAGAAGCACCACAGATATAAATATTTTTTCATGCAATGTCCTCTTAAAAAAATGCAACAAAAGCAGAAACAAAAATAACCCAAAGCAAAACCCACCAAAGTTAAAACACAACAGTTTTTATTCACATATGGATGACAGAGTTTCAGCATAGGGAGAGTTCAAGTGAAAGTTGATACAACGTCATCCTGTCACTTTAAAGAAAATTAAATCCATTTCCAAATTGTGAGGAAAAGCTACTACAGGAATAACATTCCACATTAGAATGGCGATTTTAAAATGCATTACTTTTACTCATCACATTACTGAAAACTTAAGCTTATGGGGATATCTCAGTGTATTTTTGTATTTACATTTTTAGCAATTTTTTATCAGGTCTTCAAATATTTTGCTAAAACTAACATTTGAGATATCAAAAATTAGCTACTTACCAGTAACTCTTGTTCTTAGGAGATATTAGTTATTATAACAGTTCCCCATGCCTGAGTCCATTCCTAGTGTGTAGCATTGAGTGAGGGATGTTCAGAGCTCAAAGAACCTTTCAACCATCTCACCAGTAGGTGGCACCTTTACCCACTATAGAAGCATAACAGCCTCTAACTGCCCCAACTGTAAGTACATTTTAATACAAGACAGAAAAAAGAAAAATACCCTCTAAATCTAGAGGGCTGTCAACGATTATTATGACTACTTTATTATGAGAAAGAGCACTAAAACTGCACAACCTTCTTTTCCCAGAAGGTAATCATTATGATTGATTCCCAGTCTTGCAAACTTCAGGATGCAAAGACATCTAATGAAATAGTAACAACTAAAATCTTAAAAACTAAGCTCCGACTGGCTCCCATATACATTCTATTCATACCGTTATCAATAGCCAACAGCCTCAATTAATTCTGAGATAAGCCATATTTAAATCCTATGGACAGATAAATGGTTCATATGGGAAACAAATTCAGAAGTTAATTAGAAATTTGAGGTTTTCATTGAATTAGCTATACAGAAAAATCTCATTTTGTTTTGCATTTGTTTTATATTATATTTATTTTATTAAAATAAATCTGAAAACGTCAAGCTCTGGAACAGTCCTGAATTTCTTGTTCAACTTCAGCAAATTTTACCAGGTTGGGATGCTCAATGCACCCAAGTCTACTATTTGACACTGCATCCGTATTAGCTGAGCATTTCTGCTAAAATGATTATTAGTATTGTATGATTACAATTAGCAGTGCTACCATATTAAAAATATCATTCTATTGCTATGTTAATAACTGATGTTTCTACTACAATTTCTGCTACAGCTACTATTAGAAATTCAGAACTCTGAGAAGACCATGTTTAATCAATTTATATACAAGTCTCACTAAAGGTTATCTGCACAACCATAATAGCTACAAACAATCTTTCAAATGCTGCCTCAGAGCCTGAAGTCAAAACCTGTGGTGGTCTACTCTGGAAAAATTGTGAACAAATGAGGACCTGTCCAAGGTAACAAATTTAGAAGAACAAAACAAGGGAGCTGTGCCTCAACATACTGCCTGACCTTCTACGCACCGCTCAAAAAAAAAAACACCCATCAACCTAAAAAAATCTTATTTGGAATTTAAAGGAAGTTTAAAAAAAATGGAAGAGAAGTTACGACTGGGTCAAATCTATCCAGAAACAGAAATGAAAAGCTTTCAGCAAACAGCGATAAATAACCAAAAAAGAGCTGAAATGAGCTCCTCACCTGTTAGCAGATAAGGGGACAGGCAGTTGACGCAGTTAGTTACTAGCCATTATGTCTCATCAGTGGGTAGTGGCACATCAATTGCTGGTGAGGTGGGTCACCGGCCCCGAACATTCCACATCCAGTCACACACATAAGGCATGGATCGGGAGAGTGGGAAAAACTAGAAATTACAACACTTACCTTTGAAGAATACACAGTACTTTTTCTATGAATTTTCTTAAAGAATATATGATAACAATGTATGTGTAACTGCATGATGGGTGAAAATTGATCCAAAAGTGTCAAATTCAAAATCTTTCGAGTAAGTGTATGCAATGTATTTAACTTAGGAGTCATTAAGTATTCATTTTTTCAAATGCATTTTCTTAACCTGATAAGAAGAAGTTTCTGTACATTGCCAGCTCCTCATAAAGGTATTGTATACATCTTTAAGGTCATGCTATTTTTCTTCTTTATGTTGCATAAAGAGGCCTGAATGAAAACTAAGTTTTAAGCTTTCAACTACCAGATGTGTTTGTTATCCCTAGTTTTGACAAGTATCAGATAAGCATTTAATTAAAATGCACACTTGGAAACTGAATATTCTACAATGAAATAAACGATCCCTCTTCCCACTGAAAGTTGCTTCAGCTACACTGCAAATGACACTGGAAGAAGTTAAGTAGTAAAAGTCATATACCACCAAAATGCTGGCTACACATCACCTACCATTTTGATTAACACTGGTACTTCTGGACACCTGCCTAGACTAGGAACCCCACTTGCTTATGAACCACTTGTGCTACCATTGGAATATTCTTCTGTTTGACTTCTTAAGAAAAGATCTGAGCAAGGAGGGGTTTTAAGTGGCTGGTTACAAATTCTTATCTTTCTCATGTTTTGGGGAAGTTCATAGTTAATATTCCCTAAAAACAGCCTCACCAATTACTAGAATTGCTTGATTGTTATTGTATCACTCATCTGGTGCAATTTGTAAGGAGCAGAAATGACAAAGACTTTCATTCACCAGGGTGGATCCCTGGGTCATACCACACTGGTATAAGTAACAGTTATGCTAATTGTTTTCAGGTGATTGCCTTGGTGCCTGACCACCTCAGCAATTTGAGAAGCACAAAGATTGTAGCAGCATAGCGCTGCTTCATGGTAACTCAATGATATCATTTATCATGAATGATAACATTATGATATAATCACATGATGATCACTACTACTATAGTTACTGATAAGTAAGAGAACACCTAGATCCTCTCATATAGAAACATAAATAAAAGAAAATTAGTCACAACATTTCAGGCCAGTTTTATACATCATAAAGCAATATAAGGAAAGCCATTTTTCATGAACACCAAAAGCCATTTTTGACCTCCAAAACATGCTACTACAGGCTTTAAAGGGGTTTGTATGTTTTTTTAACCTTAATTTCAGAATTATTTCATTATAATATGTGAAAAAAGAAGGAATAAAATTGTTCCAATCATTTCATATTTAATCAATACCATGTATGCTCACGTACAACATCAGTATCACTGATAATGGCTACCTGTGTTTTAAAAGCTAGTGCATAATCAGAAATACTCCTATGAGTGTATTTTGATTGCATTCAATTGCTCTGCCAGATCCTCTCATGCAAAGGATTATCTCACCTACTTATTTTTAGTAACCCAGATGTATATTTTCATCAAATATCTGACAGGGCATAATCTTAGCACACATTTTTATCATTTACATTTTTTATCATTTAATAAAACTACTCACCTTTGTGGTAGCTATACTATTTACAAAGCTGATTTGCTGAAACCCTTTTTCACTTAAAGTGAGGCACACGTCCCATCGTTCATTCACGACTTCATGAATAACTTTGAGCGCAACTCCAGTTTCATCCAGCTTGTCTTTTACGTAAAGATCTACGTAACTGCGAAATCCATTTACCTACAAGTAATGCAGATAACAATTACTATTCTTTGCAAAAAAATACTCAGTACACTTAAAATATTTTAAATGAGGCTCTTACAGGTAATTTCTTCCCATTCAACATGACTTTGACTCCTTTGCATGACCCAGCCAAATCATACGCTCTTCTTGTCATGAGGGCCACAATATCCTTATCAAGTTTTTCCATTTTAAATTTAGATAGATCTGGCTGGAATGTAATGCATGTGTAGTCATCACCATCGAAATGCTTAATCTTGGGTTCGGAGGTCTTCATCATATTGTTCATCCAAGTCTTTGGAAACAAAACATTGCAGATGTTAGTTTACAATACATGTTATCTTCCTCCTTTGTTCCATTTTCCAGCTATGCTAGGATTGCAAAGGCTACCCAACAAAAAGCTCACAGACTTCTCTTAGAAGTTTCCTCTGGTGAAACACTATGCAAAAAATTAATTGCTTTAAAAAAATTAATTGCTTAATATGCACAAGCATCAGTGACAGCAGATTTGTGGTTTCTGTAAATATGCAGGTATCATTACATTGATGGACATGATTCTAATGCAAATAGAGTCCATCACAGAACTGGGTAAATTAGATACAAGCGCGCTAGCTAAACAGTCCTTATTGCCATCAGCTTAATGCTTCCAATTTTCTACACATTTCTATAGAGAGGCTTATTAGTCCCTGTGCAGAGACTCAGTAATCTCTGAGATAGCACCTTTGTGGCTGTTCAGTGAAGGAAAGCATGCTTCTTGACAAGCCAACTTGCTCAGACTTGACTCAGGAGTGTTCGTATTGTTCCCCATTTCAGAACACGGGCACATTTATAAAATAGCACTTTATCAAAGTCAGAAAGCATGCCGTTTTCAAAAAGTACACTCAAACCAATATTAATTTGCTTTTCGGCAATCAGCAGAAAATATCGTATGTTTAAAGAGACAGGTAAAACCATTGAAATGTTTTGTTTACGTAGTGAAATGACAGCACAACCTGAAACAAATTACCTGTCCAGAAAAAAAACAAAGCACCAACCAGGAAAGACTCCAAAGCCAAGGAACTTTGGTATCTAATACTCTAACAAAGTTCTTTTAGAAAGGTGGCCATCTCAAAGCTATATACAGTAGATCAAATTACATTCAATCCTTGGTCTGTGTATTAATAATTGTAACAATGAGCAACAGTTTTAAATGGGGAGGGAGGGAGGTTTGCACCAGAAGTCCAGCTAGTATAATGAAATTCATGATATAAACACTGAAAAATCTTTTTCCTAATACATATCTAGATAATTGTTCCTATGTTTACACATCTAAGAAGAAAGATTTTTTGACAAATTATGTAACAGCAATTAAAAAATGTTTCAATTGAATTTATTCCTTTTCACATGCACATGAACATACTTTAGTTTTAACAGAAGAAGTTTGTTTGTAATTTTTAGTCACTTAAGACCCCATGAAAAATGTTACTTACCAAAAAAACCCCCAAATTCTAATACACATTCTAATAATCAGTTTTACTGACTGAACTACCTACTCTGCAAACTCTCCACATCCATTTGAATGTTAAAAGATTCATTTAATGAAATATTAATGAAATATAGAAAACGTGTTAAATTTTAAATTTATAATTACAGCAAAGACAAGGAAAAAAAGTCGAGATAATTTCTATACCTGCTTAAAGCTGTGTTTGTATTCCTTGCAAGCAGTTTCAACTGTAAACTTTGTACTAAATATGTTACAAAGTTTTGCACCATAGCCATTGCGTCCACCTGAAAAAACAACATATATTAAGTTTTTTTACAGGAGAACCATATTTATGATATATAGAGAGTATGCCAATAAAGTAAAATGTCCTATATGAGACGAAAGTTGGGCCACATGTCAACAGGTATCAAAGGATGCCAGAGATGTTGTTTCACACTGCCTCCAATCTTGTGCAACTGCTTCTGCCTCAAAACCAAGCAGTTTGCTCCTCTCCCCAAGTCCAGGATGCTCCCATTGCTTCCCTTATGCTAATATACCAGTTGCTTACTGAAAGGCAAGTGACCTCAACACCCTGATCCAGCTGAAAACTAGGTCATCATCAGACCCAAATCATTCAGCAACTGCACATCATAATGTGGGCAAAACATATGGGGTATGATAGAACAGAACTAACTTTCATTCACGACCTAAATTGGGGTTACTTCACATTTAGGATAAAAAATCATGTCCCAATCTATTAAATTTATTTTTTCCCATCATTTTTAAAGCACAAATTTTTAAATGATTGCATCATAATAACTGCATTAAAATATGAAGATACTGTTTGTTACTGAATAATAAGCACTGATATTAAAGATGTAAAAGTAAAGTTCTCTGTAAACATTGATATTAAAAAAGAAAAACTAAGATTTTTTTAAGTCATTTTACTCTAACAGAGTGCTATAGGAAAGGTGACTAAGTGATCATCTGCTATGAAATGGAATAGAAAAAGTAAGAAGAGAAAACATACAGAAAAGCAAACAATAGCTTAATTAAATAAAACAAAGGATGTTAAATAGTCTTGCCTGTAACTTTTTTCTCATCATCATCGTAGTTGCTGGATGTTAGCAGCTGCCCAAAGATTAAAGCAGGTACATATACTTTTTCTACTTTGTGTTCCACAACTGGTATACCCTTTCCATTATTCCATATGCTGATAATGTTTGATTCCCTATAAAATAGTGAAGACATTAAGGCCATTAATGTTATCTTTAAAACAGACTCCTTCGCACATTTTACCTGTTTAAATAACTACATAAAATACAATAAAAGGCCATATTCTTACCATATTTATTCACAGCTCTATCAATTTTAATTACAAAAAAACACTTCTTTGTGCTTACTAGATGGCTTAGAAGAAGGAGCATTAGTGCCCATACATAACAGTATATCATATCACAGAAATAACCCCTAAGAATCTGTTTGAAGAGCTTTCCCTACTAACATGATCTGCCACAGAATGCTGAAGTTAAGTGATAGAATTATACTTAAGTTAGAGACGTAGCTTTTTAGGTTTCATTGAAGTCCACCTAGACACAGCCAAGTTATCATCTGTTTAAAACTGTTATTTCCAAGTTATTGTAAACATTGGAACTTACTTTATGTATCAATGCCAAAATCCATCAACATCTGGTATCGTTAATATTTGCAGCTCTCATACAGAGTTTTTATTTCAGAGTATTAGAGAGTTCAAAATCATGACAGGTCAGGCAGATTTACACTACCATTTCCCTCCCACTCCATAATAAGAACAATTTGGTCAACAGAAACTGATAATGCACTGAAAACTTGCAGAAAAATTACTTCTTAGCGTATTTATCCTAAAGATTAGGTGTGAAAATTAGGTCTCTAAAAATTTTATTACTCACTGAATGGGTACTACTAAAGGAACCCAATCAACATCTGTTTAACTACAATACTTCTCATTAGGAAATATCTCTTTTAGTATTCAATTTTGAAAAACAGTAGTAATGATACATTTGCAATCTGCAGTTTCAATGAGATATAGCTAATTCAAACATAACCTCATCCTAACACTAAGGAAGTTAACACAGAAGTTCAAGAGGTACAAAAATGTTATGAAATCTCAAGGTTGGTATTTATGAGTAACCTGGATGCTTATGGTTATACACTGCAAAGCTTGCATCTAATAATCAATTTTACATATTCTGGTTTTAAGTTTCAATCAGTCAAATATTAACAAGTAGTTTAGGAAAGCAAATTATTAAAAATTCAGAATGGTAGTATTTACTGTTAACCACTTTTAATTCACCTTTTAATCTTAAAATATTAAGCTAATAAAAATAATTCCAAAAATATTATTTTGTTTTTAATAAATCCAATTTCATTCAGTAAAATCATTTGTACAAATCTGAACTACAGTAGCATCAGCAGGGAAAGTAAAAGAAAACATGCTTTTACTTACGGGTCAATGGATATTTTAATACAAGTCATATTCTTGTCCCTCTGCTTATTGTCAGCAGCATTTACTATGAAACAAAGTAGCACAAATCAACACCTTCTAGAAACAATAATTAATTACTCAATCTGTAAAACTGATTATATACATATTCCACCACAAGTTGCAATGGTCCAGGTATTTCTTAATCTCATATCTGTTTGTATATTCTGTGTCTTATGACTGAGGTCTATAAATATGTCCAAGTATCTGCAAGTTATTTTTCAACCTTCTTATAATTACTGACTATTTCTAGCAGTTAGATTATCTTATAAATAAATATAGAAGTGTATTTTGTGAGCTTGTTCTCATAACTGCTCTTAGCATACAGAGCACTTAGTTCTTCTGTTGCTGCCCTTCTGGTGTCTGGATATTTATTACACATATTACACCATGTATGTTAAAAAAAACTAGGAAATTATATGCATCACCAGATCAGTTGACACATCCTTTTCCTACTGAAACCCAATCCTGAAAAAGTCACATCCCCTAAGGAGTGCTTTGGTTGCAGCAAAAGTTATCTCTAAAGAGCCTGTAAGACTTATAACTAACAGTTTTAAGTTAGTTCCTAAACAGTTTACCCAGTTCAGAATCAAAAGAGGCATAACCGGAAGTTAACATTTGATCAGAATTTAATTTAACTGCACTCCAATGTATATTTACGACAAACAACAGAAATCAGTAATGTGACTATGGCCATTAACCACAAAAAAACATTACAATCATTTTCAGCATTTGTCTCATCACCCATGAAACAGACCAAAACAAAACCCAAAGCCATCAAAGGATATGAAGATAAATCCATTAAAATTGAAATATCTTAATAGATTATAAGGATCTCAATATAAGATCAGATATTTTGAGGTGCTTTTGCTAAAATCATTAAGTGCAGCTTCATTAAAAAGTAAGCAGAGTTACAATGTCCAATTTTCGTAATGTTATCACACCGACCCCTAGCTCTCAAATCACCGACCCCTAGCTCTGTGGAGCACTTATCAGGGCTACACAAAGAAGCACTGAGTCGTACAGTACTATGACAATGATATGATACTGATCTTCCTTTTTAATGGGACAAAATCAAAGTGACTCCCTCCCATGAAAAGCCCATAGAACTGGCACTCAAAAATGAGCTCACAAAAGATTTTCATTCCCGTATTTCTCAGTAATGAGTAAAAAAACAAAAATAAAAAATCATTCTTTTCCATCTGGACAAGATATAGTCTTTATTGCTTCCAAGACAGCAAAGCTGTAAAGCATAATTATAGAGGTGTGGATAAGTGCTGAATCCAATAAAGGTCATGCCAAAATTTGCATTGACCTCAATAGAGCATAATTTAGTTTACAATGTAATCCCACCAATCTTTACAACATAACTTAATAAAAACTGATTAGTCCAAAAATTCATGCCAATTAACCCAAAATATCAGTTCAGCAGACAGCACGCTTCAGATGTTGCACACCTCTTCTGCTGGTTAGTCTTCAATGTGTGCCTGTCACCAAGAGAATATCATAAACTAGTAAAGTCATAGTGACTCAGGGACTTAAGACAGAATTTTCTAAAAATCATTTGTTTGTGCCTCAGTCACCGTGCTTTTAAATAGCAGTGTGATACTTATTAATTTTAAAACTGTCTGAAGTCCAGAAATGATCCGTGTAAGAATCACCATCACCACCACTATCATTCTGTACAGAAGGAAATAACTTTAATGATTCACAAGATGATGATTTAAGTTAACACTTTCTGTTGTCTTCTTTTGGAAGAATAATCTTTCAAACATTACTTAAAACTGTGGCCTTGATCAACTTTTCAGATTAAAAATCTTGCAAGAGTATTAATCATAAAAATAAAAAATGACCTAGTTTGGACATTCAGTAACAAATATTTACACTGTCTTACAAGTTCAACTGAAAACACTCTTCCCTCTTCAAACTGTTCTGTAGTGCTGGAATGCACTAGAATTTTCATGCACTGCAGTTTAGTGGCACTCAAAGTCGGTGATTTAAACTTAGATACAAATTAATGTGCTTTGAGAGCTCTCAGAAAAGTACATACTCCACAATGCTAAAGCAGTGTTATTGTTAAAAACACTTACCAAGGATTTCATCAAAGATCTTGTACAAGCCTGGAACAAAGGTAACTTCTCTGCAATTCATTCCTACATCTTCATCATAAACCCACATTAACTACATGTAAACAACAACAAAAAAATATTTACTTGTCTTGGTAATCCAGTCTATCATTCTATAAGTTCTATTTACTTCAGAACTTTACTCTTCCAATCTGATTGCTGCTGTCATATGAAACAAATGCAGAAGCAGAAGTTTGTCAAAAATTACAGCTGTACCCACAAAGATTTCCATAATGAAAATTCATTATTTTCTGCTTGATGGGGAACTCCAACAATATAGACAGTGAAGTTTGAAGTATTTTGCAACTTCATAAAAACAGCTGAAAAACGTGCCAGCAGGAGGCTTAAACTCTCTGTTCTCTAACTAAACAAACACACCAAAGCATTTTTGGACCTAGAACAAATGCTACTTACAAAAATGTATACATATATATTTGCGTGCATATAGGCATGTTTGTAAACACACACATACACACATATAACAATGTATTTACACACACAGGTGTGTGTTTATGTTTTGACTGAACAATTTCTAAGCATGTTTTTTCAGGTGAATGAAGCACCTATTAAAAAAGTCTTCTCTTGACTCCTTCATACATATGCTTACATAAACACACCCACAGTTTTTAGCACGAGAATTCAGAATACTCAGAAATGCAGAGATTTGACTATTTATTAAGCAGAATAGTCACTTCCCTATTAAACAACAAAAACTATTAAGACAATAAACTTAGTGACACTTACCTGAGTTAATGGTTCAACTGAACCAATGTAGGTATCTGGACGGAGGAGGATGTGCTCAAGCTGAGTCTTTTTCTGATAAACTCTCTCAACAGACATCTTCTTTGAAGTGTCATTTTTATTAATGCTTTCTGAGTCTTCCTTTTTTGAAGCACTGATCTGATTATCAAATAGTGTCTAAAAAAGAGAACCACACCAACAATCAACCTCATACATTGAATCTGTCACTCTCAAGATACAAACAAAACCTGACAGAGATTTAAATTACAATCAAAACTTGTCATGTAATGTAAATGTGAATTTTGCAGATGTATTAAGATCAAGCTATCCTCTCAACAGAAAAAATTCAACAGATTACGTGACAGTTTCTTAACAAATTGTCACATACTCAAACTTTAGTGATTTAATAAGCATGACATACCAAAATAGGGAAACGAGTATATTACAAAAGACGCCCACATCCGCAGGTTAAATATTTATAATACCTATTTTGTGCTTAAGCATTTTAATCCAAACCACTGAATACTATTCTGAGTAACTACAGTAAAATCACTCTTTTGCATGTAGGCATCAGTGATGACAATAGGCAAGAGTTTGGCCCTGAGTAAACCTGAACAGGCCAAATGAGAATCAAATATTCTTTACTACCCAGTCCTGTAACTGACAGCATCCAAAATAAGAGGAGGAAAGAACACTAGAAACCCCTTAATCCTGCAACAGGATTACATGTAGTAGAGTTGGAAACACAACACTAACTCTCATGACTTTTCTTCCAGAGATGATCACATCTCCCACCAAACAGAGAAGTTCCAAAATCCCATGCACGTGTGACTAAAGTGTTTTGGTATCCGAGTTAATTTAGTCTCCACATTGTCATTTGGTCTTAAACTGTGACAACCCAACTACCACCACTCTAAAAAGATTAGCCAAACAAGCACAAGCAAACAAGCAGAAAAGAAACAGGACTTTGCAAATAGATATATTCAACTGATATATGGAAGAGGAGGAACAAGAATTGTTATTAAAGAAGCATTGCCAGTCATTGTAACAGAAATTTTATTTCATTGAAGTAGTTCTGTGAATGACGTCCTGTTTTAAAACTTTCTGACCTTACTGGCTGTACTTTATTATCATCTTTGACATCATACCTCACAGGAGTCACCCTTAGCTCACTTACTGGGTTCCATAGTTCTGTTAGCACTGTTTTACTATCTTCACTTGTTCTAAAGGGATAAGCGATTAGCGGAGAAGAAAACAGTATATTTCTCAGATGAAGAAGTGACTGTTGAAAGAAGGGAAGAGAGGAAATACAATTCATATAGAAAGCAAAAGAATTAAAGGCGTAAAGAACGCCAGAATCTTGTTCTCTTCTATTTGTTCCCAATTCCTAGGCTTCAAGAGGTTTTTCGAGTCGGCTTAGTACATGATGGGCAGTTACCCCATGCCAATTTTTTGGTCGTTACGTACACCATTATTGTATTCTTATGACTGTTCTGAGACTGCTTCTACTTGTACAGCCTCTTAGGACTAGAGTCTAACAATGCATCTAACAACTCAGTAACACATTAACATAGAATAAGAATGAAATCTGAGCCTAATAAATCTAGGCTACAATTTTCCTATCTCTACTAGCTCTACTTGTCCCACAACATGCTTGCAGAAGTCAGTAGATTAGAAGAAGTCCATTTTATTGTGACTGAATGAGTACCTCTCCATTGTGAAAAATTACTAGAATAGAATTATTGGGAAGGGCTTCCTACAAGCCATTGCCTTTAATACCACACCGGGAAACGCATTTCTGTTTTCCAGTCAAAGTATGGGAAAATTTGGAGGAGCTTATACTTTCCAAATTATCATTAAGAAATGTATAGAGCACCAAAAAGTACTTCTGTTGAGATGCTACTGCCAGAATCCTGTCATGCTGACAGAGACTAGACATTATACCTAGACATACTTTGCTGCCAAAAAAAAAGCTAGTCCTGCAGAAATGTCACTTCTTGGGGAATGGCGAGTTTGCTTTAATCCAGCAGTAGTAAGGATCTTCTGTTACTTTACTCCCTGTGACAGCTATGTCTATTATCTTTTAGAACAGGGGGAAAACCACACAAATGATCAGCATAATATTTTTTTTTTCCTATTGAAAAAAAAAAAAAAGGAAAAAAGTAGTCTTAAAGAACTGCATCCCTAAGAGCAAGAAGTCAGGCAAAGGAAGCAGGAAACCTGCATGAAGAAGCAGGGAGCTTCTGGAATAACTCAGATGGAAGAAGGAAGTTTATAGAATGTGGAAAAAAAAGGACTGGCCTCTTTGGAGAAATGTAGGAGAACTGTCAGAGTATGCAGGGAGGCAATGAGGGAGGCTAAGGCCTGCTTGGAATTAAACCTGGCAAGGGATGTCAAGGACAATAAGAAGGGCTTCTTCAAGCACATCAGCAGTAAAAAGAAGACTAGGGAAAATGTGGGCCTGCTGCTGAATAAGGTGGGTGCCCTGGTGACAGAGGATGAAGAGAAGGCGGAGCTACTGAATGACTTCTTTGCTTCAGTCTTTACTGCTAAGACCGGCCTTCGAGAACCTCAGACCCTGGAGGTAGGACAGAGATCCTGGAATAAGGAAGACTCTCCTTTCGATCGCGGAGGTTCAGGTTAAAGATCATTTAAGCAAACTTGAGACCCACAAATCCATGGGCCCTGATGGGATGCACCTGTGAGTGCTGAAGGAACTAGCAGATGTTATTGCGAAGCCGCTCTCCATCATCTTTGAATGGCCATGGAGAACAGGAGAGGTGCTTGAGGACTGGAGGAAAGCTAATCTCACGCCAGTCTTCAAAAAGGGCAAGAAGGAGGACCTGGAAAACTACAGCCCAGTCAGCCTCATCTCCATCTCTGGAAAGACAATGGAACAGCTCATTCTGGACATCATCTCTAAGCATGTAGAAGAAAAAAAAGATCATCAGGAGTGGTCAGCACAGATTCACCAAGGGGAAATCATGCTTGACCAATCTGATAGCCTTCTACGATAGGATGACTGGCTGGGTGGATGGGGGGAGAGCAGTGAATGTTGTCTACCTTGACTTAAGCAAGGCTTTTGACACTGTGTCCCATAACACCCTCATAGGTAAGCTAAGGAAGTGTGGGTTAGATGAGAGGACAGTGAGGTAGATTGAGAACTGGCTGAGTGGCAGAGCCCAGTTGGAGGCCTCTAACTAGTGATGTTCCCCAGGGGTCAGTACTGGGTCTAGTCTTACTCAACATATTCATCAACGACCTGGATGAAGGGACAGTGTGCATGCTCAGCACGTTTGCTGATGACACAAAACTGGGAGGAAGGGCTGACACGCCAGAAGGCTGTACCATCATTCAGCACGACCTGGACAGGCTAGAGTGTTGGGCAGTGAGGAACCCGATGAAATTTAAAAAGGGTGAGTGTAGGGTCCTGCAGCTAGGGAGGAATAACTCCATACATCAGTACAGGCTAGGGGCTGACCTGCTGGAAAGCAGCTCTGTTGAGAGAGACCTTGGAGTCATGATGGACAACAAGTTGACCATGAGCCAGCAATGTGCCCTGGTGGCCAAGGCAGGCAATGGTCTCCTGGGGTACATTAAAAAGAGCATGGCCAGCAGGTCAGGAAGATCATATTCTCCCTCTACTCCGCCCTGGTGAGGCCACATCTGGAGTACTGTGTCCAGTTCTAGGCCCTCCAATTCAAGAAGGACAGGGAACTACAGGAGAGAGTCCAGCAGAGATGATCAAAGGAATGGAGCACCTCTCTTATGAGGAAAAGTTGAGAGACTTGAGTCTGTTTAGCCTGGAGAAGACTGAGAAGGGATCTCATTGATGCTTATAAATATCTAAAGGTTAGGTGTCAAGAAGATGGGGTCTGGCTCTTCTCAGTGGTGTCTGGTGACAGGGCAAGGGGCAGTGGACACAAGCTGGAACACAGGAAGTTCTGTTTGAACATGCGGAAAAACTTTACTTTGAGGGTGACAGAGCAAGGGAAGAGGCTGCCCAGAGACGTTGTGGAGTCTCTTCTGGAGATATTCAAAACCTGCCTGGATGCATTCCTGTCCAGCCGGCTCTAGGGTCTTGAATTAGATGATCTCTGAAGGTCCTTCCAGCCCCTACAATTTCATGATTCTGTAATTCTATAGTTTTTACTAAGTCATCACAAACACCTTTTCAGTATGCTCTACTTAAACATTTAAATTTCATTGTTATAGAACAGGACAGATTTTATTTGTACAATCCTCCAAGTACAGTATGTCTTCTGTATGCAAAAAATACTTATGTTATAAACATTCAGAATTTATTTAACTTACACACTATGGAAATGTAAGCATAAAAATAAATACCAGAAAGCATTCAACTACATAAACTAATGTTATTATACAGGCATGCAAGCATCAGAAGCGTGCAGAGCTGCAGTTTCCCACACTAAGCCTTTTGGGCTGTGCTGTACTCTGAAGCAGAAGACCAGCTCTGAATCCCTGCATCTTTATCGCGAACGGACATTTTTAGAGTTCAATAGAGTTCAAGTGAAATTTAGATCTCATCCCAAAAAAGAAAAAAATAGAAAAAATCTTCACCACCAAATCCATGACAGACACATGGCCACAAACATCCTCCACAGTCTTTCCACTACGTTTTCCTTGGTATCTTAAAAAAAAACAACCACCAACTCAACCAACCCCCAAAAAAACCCAATAATAAAAAAAAAAAGAATTGAAAAGTGCTTTCATCTGCTGAGTATCTACTACTTAAAATGAAAGTAAATGCAGCAGGAGAGCCCCCCCACCCCCCCGTTTTTCTTTTTGGGTGGGGTGGTGGTTTGGGGTTTTTTTTGGTTAAACTGAGCAAGCACTAAACTGCAGTGTTGTTAAACTGACAATCTCTTCTGTATATTTTGGAATTGTCTCAAGAATGCCTTTTGTATTCTGTCCTGTATGAAAGATCTCATATTGTTAGAGCTCCAATAACACTTCTCAAAACAGCACCAGCTGTTGTTTCATGAGAAAACTGCTAAAGATAATTAACAAAGAGTCACAATGGACTTAAGTCTTCTGCTTCACAGTGAGTCCGGTTTTTGTTTGTTTGTTAACAGGTTACCTAATTTTCAAAGTCTGGTTTGCAATCTTAATGTTGTCAATTTTGAATTTTTTTTTTAGACAGTTTGACTTTTCCA